GTGTAGTGTTCCAGAGAACAGTGTTAGAACAAAGTAAGTCTTTAAATTGATAATATCAACATGTGATTCTGTGCAATGCTGTTAACTTGCTAGAAAATCCAAATGTCACATTATTTGAGTACGATCCAATAATGCTTGCTGACAATTTCACTCTAGGTTACGTTTCTTTATAAGTACTTCTAAACTTAATATTTGTTATAAAAACATAAATAAAAGGTTGTGAAGAATGTAGAAAAACTTATCATTTCAGTAATTCTTTGGAATTCCTGGGAATCCAGATTTCTTATTCTGGAATCCAAAACAATTAGTACCTGTTGGCAGTTTGGAACCTGCAGCTTTGGAGGCAGCCTGACGTCCAGAGTGTAGGGGAGGCTCCATCAGCCCTGGGATGCACGGGGGAGCCCCTCCACCACTTCTCAGTTGTCTTTAGAAACTTTGCTAATTGTTGTTTTAAGTCTGAATTCGGATTTCTGGAAACAAGAGCCTGTTGAATTCTTGTTACTTAGCACAACATGCTATTTTTGCCCTCTAGTCAGTGCTAATGATTTGCAGAAATGAAAGGAGAAGTTTTAAAGTTCAAGTGAATAAATTCACTTATTTCACTGAGCAAAGCCATGTGTCTCAAGGGCCAATCTTGTTTCCAAGTACCAGGAGCACAAAAATGATTACGGCCCAGTTGCTACGGCCCTTGAGAAGTGCACAGTATATTGATGTAAATAGACATGAAAAGAAATGCTTTGTGCTGTAGTGAATGTCACAGTTGGGTCTGAACGTGGTGCACTGTTGAACAAATAATGTCATGGTTAATTCTACTTGGGATAGGGCTCACGGGATCAGGAGAGAGTGTGTTGGAAGACAGTCAATTTGAAACTAGAACAAGGGACAGGCTTTGCTATGCAGATAGAGAGCATTTGCCGAGTTATATAGACTTGAATTTGCATGGCATATGTAAGAGACATATAAGTGGTTGATATTTCACTCTTCATTGACTCAAGTGTGCATATGTTTGTGTGTGTGTGTGTGTGTGTGTGTGTGTGTGTGTGTGTGTGTTGGAGAACAAGGCAGAGCATTCAATGACCCTATGAAAGTGGGATCAGTCAGTTTAACACCAAAATTAGGAGCTTAGCCTATGACCAAGGAGCTGGGGAGAAGATGGAGGTTTTGAGCGTGGGAGTCACATTAGCAGATTTGTATTTCAAAATCATCACTCTGCTTCAAAATCATAAATGCTGGTTATTTTGGTAGACTTAAAAAAGAAAGATTGAGAATAAGCAGCTGAGCCAAAGAGAATCAGAAATGCCGGTGATCGCTGATTGTCTTCTCTCCATCTTGAGGAGCTTGTAGGTTGGGATTTCCTGTGCGGTGCTGTCAGCAGGTGGGAGGTGTGGCTGCTCCCAGCACCAGCAGGGCTGGGGTGGAGTTAGGGCTCCATGGCCGATGGAAAGGATGGCGGAACCTTCCTCCCAGACCAAATTGTTTGTGTCACCCCCACTGATGAATGTCTGTGACATTGGGAATAGCAATTCCATCAAGATACTTTTATTGGATTTCACTCTTCATTGACTCAAGAAGTGAAATATCTTAGAGTCAGAAGGCTGAGTCCCTTGCCTCAACTGGGTTGCTTATTTTTTATTGCTCACACTGAATTGTGGAGATTGGAATATATACATAATAACCAGGGAAGTTGTACTCCATGGGCTCACGTGTACTTGTATATAACCTTACATAACTTGGCCTCTGGACAGAGACCACCGGTTTGGTTGCCATCTCTGCTAGGGCTCTAGTGAGGTAAGGAACACCTGGGTTTGCCCCGCGAGAGCAGGTGTGCTTGTTTTATTAAAACTGGGTAAATTCTGAATGCCTTGGCCTTTATACTTCTAGTCCTCAAGGCATCATAGGAGGTTGTCAAGCATGATTCCTCCTGGCATAGTCCACAAACACTTGACCTTGGGTATGGGAGCTTGTTGCTCTGCTGGTGTAGTGCTGGGACAGTGTTTCACCAAAAAGCTTACTTACAAAATGGAGCCCTGGTGATGAAAGTACAGATGCCAAAATAGGGAGTTAACAGTCTCAGAGGGCCTTGACCAGTGTGGCTCAGTTGGTTGGAATTTGTCCTGTGCACTGAAAGATTGCTGGTTCGATTCCTGGTCAGGGCACATGCCCAGGCTGTGGGATTGATCCCCAGTGGGGAGCATGTAGGAGGCAGCAGATCAATGTTTCTCTCTTTCACTCTCACATCTCTCTCTCTCTCTCTCTCTCTCTCTCTCTCTTCCTCTCTCCCTAAAAATCCCTTTTAAAATCTTAAAAAACAAAAAAAAACAGTCCCAGAGGAGCACAGTCATTTCCAGGATACCTTCAGTCTGACAAATATCTAGGAAGTAACTTTGCCATATTTCTGTGTGACGCCAGGCAAGTCACTCCCCAGCTATGTCTCTGATTCCTCAGGTATAAAATACAGTTGCTGCACTGGATTAGTTTTAAGGTATTTTCTGGTCCCAACAGGCTGTGATTTGGTCATTAACTGCTGAGTAGCCACGCAGGGTCAGCACCAGGGACCCACCCACTCACCCAACAGGGATATATTGAGTATCCAGGATGTATCAGGCCCACTAGTAAGCACTGGCCAGTAAACTTAATGGTGAGGTTCAGGTCCAGAGACAGGGATGACCTGTCATTAACTGGTGATTAATAGCTGGTTCCATCTTTTCCTCTAAGCTATTGGCTCAGTGTTCACTTCTCTCTCTACTGCCTTTGGCTAAGCTCCTTCAGGCGTCTTTCCTCCGGGGCATCATTGCACGTGGCTATGTCTGCTCCAGCAAAGCTGCCCACTCTTTGGACTTTATAGCCCCTTCCTGGGAGTTCATAACAAGAATTGCTTCAGCTGTGGACTTGTAGCTCGGGACCGACCCAGGAGAGGGCTGCTAGACGCCACAACTTCTGCCTGTGTTTCTGATTCATTATCCACGTCAGACAATCTGCTGTGAGAATGATGACAAATGTGTGGTGTTCTGCCGAGGGAATCATGTCCTCTAAGATTAACCCATGCTGACAGCCTGCTTGGCTGCTGCTCGGAGTCCCATCACCCACCCTGCCTTCTTCAGTAGTCCAGAACAAACCTTAAAGTCTACATAGTGTTTGGCAAAGGATAATAGGAAACCTCACATCCATTTAGAAATGCAAATAATAGATGTATTTATTTCAGACAGAGAGGCCAGGACAAGGTGGGCTGCTGCTATGGGAGCTGAGAGGCATTGGAGAGAGGAACACTACTAGTATACAAACATGTAGGTGACTCCAGAGAATTTTCAAGCTAGTAATCCAGGCGGGACTGAGATGGGCTAAAGAAGAGATCATTCCTGGACACTCGGAAGTTGTGTGACTGTCATCACCGGGCAAGGCTCTCTCCCAATTTGGGCTTCAGTTTCCCCCATTAATGAAACGAGTGAGCTGGATTAGGTGGTCTCAGAGGGCCCTTGTAGGACTTCCTTTTCCAGTTCATTGGTCAGAAGGTTCAGCCTTATGGTCCGTAGGATTGTGCTATGGGTACAAGATCATCTGCCTGGATGTCAAGTCCAAAGGTAGTTCCCCTAACAGACATTCCTCTTCTTACTGTCCTCCACCCTAAATCACTAGGGTGGGTTTGAGATAAGAACCAAGTTGGTGTGTGCTCTTCCTCAGTCACTTTTGTTTTTTTATTTGGAAAAGGGTAGGTTACCTTAGATGCCAAACCCTAATTCCTGAGGAGCTGAACATTCATTACGTACTTAGTGGAAAAGGTCTCCTTCCTGTGCCCCATGAGTTCTTCGGGGGAATTAAATGCCACTCCAAACCTTGGAATTAAATCTCGTTTCTATTGCGATGGTAATTGCATCCTCTGTACCCCCATCTATTGAGGCAAATAATAATTATAGCAATGGCTGCCATTTTTATTGCTTCCTATTTTCCAGGCATTATATGGAGTACTTTACACACCACAGCTCATTCAGCCCTCATACCATCTACTAGAAGTAGATTCTATTGCCCCATTTTATAGATGAGGAAACTGAGGTTTACAGGGTTAACAATCCCGCCAAGATCACACTGGCAGAGCTGAGATTTAAACTTATGTTTTCTAACTCCAGAGCCCAGGCGTTAACAGTCATTCAGGACTATCAGTGCAAAGCACTTCAAGGGCACAGTCATAGCCTGACAGTCCACAGATACTTGTCCTCTACCCAGAACACAGGCCCACAGTGATGAGAGTCACTCCTAGCAGTTTGCTGGGAGAGCAGCTTCAAGTAAGAGAACAAGGGTGGCAGTTCCTGCAGCCTTTTTTCCAGTGGTTTGTGATAAGGGATGGGGTTCTCTCCATGGACACAAGCCATCCTACTAGCACCATGTATCATTATGATAAAGGTGAGGATGCGGAGACTGGAACTGGCATGAAAGACTAGAATTCTGCTTATTTTTATAGTTGAAAGTGACATCATCCCAGTGCCTCTATCAAATGGCAAATTGGAAGTTGAACTGAAATTGCTAAAAATGTATCCAGAGATGGTTTCCACAGCTGTGAGGAAGTCACTGGTTGTGTTTGGAGATGCATTTCTAGCGGAGATGCTTGCTGAGTCATCCCACTCAAAAGCTTCTGGTCAGCCCTGGAGGACACCAAGGCTTTGGGTGCTGTTTCCAGGCACCTGTGATACCCCCTGCACTGGGGGCTGGTGAGCCAGTGGAACCACACTCCTTCCTTGTTCTTTGCGATGTATTGCGAGTGTCTTTTCACATCAGGAAGTGATGTTTTACAACATTTTAATGGTCACATCACCTTCCCGGTCCATCTGGTGGGTTGAACCTGGGCTTTTGGAGCAGTCTCCTGCCCCCACCAATGAGTTGGAACAAATGGAAATGCTGGCTGCTTGACCAGCCCTTTTAGTTATTTGGCCTTTATCCAGGGACTTGGGGGAGAGAGCCATGGGTATGGGAGCTTGCATTTACTTATCTCCTCTTTTTTCCATCCTCAGGCAAAAGAAGGGGAACGTGGCCCACAAACACTGGGCGGGACCTTCGAATCTGATGAAGTGCAAGCCCTGCCCCGTGGCACAGTCGGCCATGGTGTGCGGCTCCGATGGCCACACCTACACTTCCAAGGTCAGTCACCTTTGTCTCTTTTGTTGTGAGAAATACTCCTTGTCTGCTGGTTCTGACAGGTCTCCGCACCCAGACTGGCCCCGTGAAGCTCCGTGCAATGTGGGGCCCTGTCCTTTAGAGGCTGCCCCATGAACAGACTGTCAAAGAGACAAGTGAGATAGAAATGTTACCTCCTATGTCCTGGCGGGGGCGGTAGGTGGGGGGGTGTCAAGGGCCAAGGGGAGGGGAATTCTGAGAGTGGATGTGATCCTGAGGTTAATCCAGGGGAGCTTCCTGGAGAAGGTGAGAGAGCAAGCTGTGCCAAAGATGCAAGTCATGCAGCTCGGCTGATGAGAGCAAAGGCATAAGGGCGGCCCGGGATGCTGCCCAAAGGACAGCATGGTGACGGGAGGAGTGTGACGGTGACGGGAGGACTCTGACGTCAGCATACACTTCCACTGTGTCTCTTGCACATCTAGATGGCATCCAGCCCTGCACCAGGCCCCGGGACTCCAGCCACTGTTCCTTTCTCAGAACCTCAGGGACTTGCAGTCTAATGGGGAGGGCAAGTGTGGTGATAGGTCATTGTCACTCAGACCTGTGGAAACAAAGGTGGTTTCATAGAAAAGGGAACTGGGGATCCAGTGGGTCTATCTGTTCTTCTGGGAAGGACGGGGAAAGTCTCACAGACAAGGGGCATTTCATTTGGGCTCCAGCAATAGGCCCTCTGAGCAGCGGGGAAAGGGGTATTATCAGGAGAAAGGAGGAAGGAAGCGAAACTTCCTTCTCAGACTTCAGACTCTCTCCTTGGGGTAAAGTGGTCCGTTTGTGTGGGGAATGGGTAGTCTCACTGGGATAGTGAGTTAAAGAAAAGGAAACCACAGAATGGACAAGAGTTTGCCTATTTGTTCTCATATTCAACCAACATAAGTCAGCACCGCCTTAGTGCCCGACACCGAGCGAGGCAGGAGGCGTTGGTGTGTGGCTGTCTCTGGCCCCAGCCTCACCACTGTTCTCTCTCCTCCTGTTTTCCTGTGTGAGGCTCCCTTGCAGAATGGAGTCTAGGGCTAGGGAGAGTTGCTACAGGAGACACCCTGGTCACTTACGGCCACACCACCATGAGGTTCTTGGGCTCAGGGATGCAGGCCATTCTGCAGGCCTTCTGTCCTGACCCACCGCACAACAGCTGACAGCATCTGTTCTCTGTGACCCCATCCCCATCCCAACCCTGGTGCACCCTCCTGCCTGCTGCCTTCACAGGCTTATTTGGGTTATTTCCAGGCTGAGCCATGCTTTCCTACTGATTTTGTATTGCACAGGTCAATATTTCCATACATTTAACAAAACAGGCATCTTTTGAAGGGATGTATCCTTGTACCCACCCATGTAATCTGCTTTAGGACCCCCCACACACACACACACACATACACCTTCCCCCACTCTCCCTGACCCCTGATAGAATCAAAATTTGAAAGTTTGTAAAAATGGGGCTTGCTTCTGACCATGTGACTCCTTCTGGAATAGTTGACTTACAAGGGGCGTTGACGGGATTTACGGGGGCATTGATGCATCAGTTCTGTCCACCACTCCAAAGACAGCTCAGGCCACCATTATCTCTCACCTGCAGCCCAGCTCCCAGGTGTGCACAACCTCCTGGGGCCGCTGCTGAAGTGCAGTGACGATGTGGTGGGGCTGGCATGCGGCCTGAGAGCCTGCATTTCTAACAGACTCTAGGCGATGTCCATGCTGCCGATCCAGGAACTACCCTGGGTAGGGAGGACTTCGGTTTTCACAGGTGCCTCCTATTAAATCTGTTTGTCTCTAGTTTGCCCTTCCCCTGCCCCCAAAGTCCATTTCCACATGATCGAAGGGGCTGTGTAATTCTGTAATAAATGTCTGTCATGTGTCTCCCCCGCTTAAAATGCTTGGATGGCTTTCCTCTTGCTGCTAGAACTAAGCAGACCCTTTGTCGTTACTAACAAAGCCCTCGAGCCTGTGGCCTTTCTATTCCATAATCACTTACCATAGAAAAGCCCTTCCTTCATTTGTTCAGTAGTGAGCACTTAGAATTGTTCTGGGCACTGTGAAGACCATGGTGAGGAGCGGTGGGAAACAGACAGGCACCGTCGCAGGTTATAGTCTGGTAGAGGAGACACAAAAGATAAGTCAGCAAACAAGCAAATGTGTAATTTCAAATTTTGGTTAGTACGTATTGAAAAGGAAATGAGCATGGTGCTGAGAGTGAGAGCAAGAGAGGCCTACGTTATAGGGGATGGCAAGGGAAGGCCTCTCTGAGGGGGTGTCCTTAAAACTGGGGTGAGAGGGGTTAGAATGTTCCAGATAGAGAAATAGCATAACTCAAAGCTCTCAGGCAGGATGATGTGCTTGAAGAACTGAGAGGATGCCCGCGTGACTAACGGTGAGGGGAGAGGCACATGAGGTGAGGGTGGACAGGGAAGAGACATTTAGCCAAAGCTGAAAGGTGAGCAGACGGTTGAGTAATGCCAGGCTCCTGGAACACTTGTTACTGTAAGTGCCTTCTTGTCCATGTCTGCCTTAAGAACACGAGATCCTAGAGGGAGACACCATGTCAATTACCACCTTAACCAGACACAGGACACAGCACATAGTGGGTGCTTCACAAGACACAGCACACAGTGGGTGCTTGATAAGATCATGGACAAGACTGGACCACCAGGGACACTAGTTGAGAAGGAAAAGAGAGATTCTGGTCTGTGCACCCCATCAGGGATTTGAGTGAACGGGCTGATGAGAGCTTAGCGATTGAGAAAAATAAGCCATCCCCACCAAGGGGCCAAGTTGCTTAGCTAAACACCCAGCCTGGGGTTCGGGCAGAGAGTCAGAGGCTCCTTGCAGTGGTTCTCGCTGTGAAGATCCAGCATGTGCTGCTCAAATTATTCCCTCCAGCTCCGGAGTAAACTGTCTGATCCTCGAGCCTGTGACTGGGGATGAGCCATGAAATGTCAGTGAGTGATGAGGGCTGTTTGGACAAGCGGCATGTCGCGCATCAGGCCCCAGCAAAATCCTGCCCGCTCGCTTGTCCCTCGTTCGCAGAAGGAGCTTAGAATGCCAGCGCCCCATGGCCCCTGAGCTACAAGGAGCAGTGGTAACCCATCGCCTTGGCTTCAAATGCTGTCAGTTGCCCAGGGAATGTCTTTGGAAAGGCTCGCTGGTCAGGGCCCCCTGCAGTCTGGGCTGGAAAGTGGGCTTTTTGTGTTAGAGAGGCTGCCTGTTTACAGATACTGTTAAATGGCTTGTGTAAGAGGCAGGTCAGGATGTGAAAGAGTCCTTTGCAGTGACTCCTGAATCTTCAGAAGAGGAGTGGCTTCCAGACACCACTGGGCAGAGCCCTCGAAGGCCCTCCCTGCATAGCCTGCTGTTCCTCTAGTGTCCTTGAATTCCTACACCAGCCTGAGTCCCCACATTCCAAGACCTGCTCACTGTCTGTTCCTGGAGCAAAAGAAGAGACCTAAAGCCCTCTCACCAGAAACTGCAGTGTTCTTCTCCCCATTCTCCATATGGGTACACTTGAGGCCCAAAGAGCCAAAGACAGTGGCAGGGTTTGTCACCCATATCTCCTGCCTAGATCTCACTCCTGTTTGAAGTTCAAAAGCGGGGGAGGGTGGTGGAGGGAAGGCATTGCAGTGGAAAATGCTGTAGGTGTTGGGTTTTGACATTAGTCTCCTAGTTTCTGTCTTTTATGAACTTCTAGAAGGTTGGCATTCTCTTTTACCTAAAGTAATGAATCAAGTGCGACTTGATCAAAAGGCATCCACTGACGGCTAAAGACCTCGGAAGCCCGGGACAGTTCTCACTCCCATGGCACTCAATGTGGCTTCCTTCCAAGGGGGAGTGTTTCCGTCTGCTTGGGTTTCTTATTGGGTGATTTCGTTATTGCCCCTAAATCCATGACCACTTAGTTATGGAAGTTTAAGGGGACATTTTAATCTCACAGACAAAGCTTTTGAGGCCCACCAGTCAGTGGTCAGTTAAAAGAGTAAATGAGTTAACTATCACTGAACAAGCACCTTTCCATCCTCAGTGGTTAGGGCCTTTTCTGTGTCAGTGGGGTCAGGAGGCAAAGGACAGATGAGACCGTGATGCATGGCGATTGGATATTATGTCAGATTCACAGGAGTTAGTGTTGGCAGAAGTGTATTGCAGCCCAGTCCCATCAGCAAGGACCTGGCGCCTGTAATAAATGATCACAGCTCCCGGACGGCGTGTTTGCCCTTTCACAGATGGTCCAGAGGCCGCGGGAGCACCGTCAGGAGCAGGAGGGAGCCTGAGCCCCAGCTCTGTCCTTGATGCCACTGTTTGTCCCTGGGTCTCATCAAACTAGTTTTCCTTCTGCTCCTAGAACTGGGGGATGCATTTAGGACCCTCTGTCGGTGCCAGGGTTCTTCCAGGGCTGGCGCCGGCCACACTCAGAGCCCCATGACTCCCCCAGGACGAGAGGTAAAGTGGACCAGAACGCACAGTCCTGAGATGAAGGAGTATAAGATGTTACATGGCAATAAATGTTTATTGAGACTCTATAAAGTATAACCCATAAAAGATAAGGAACAGAAACCCCCCGCTGGGAATAGAGAAGTGGGAGGCCAGTGTCGCAGCCGCCTGAGAATGTGACAGAGATGCTGCCCCTTGGCGTTGATTCCAGGCAGTAAGGATCAGTCTAGTCATTTAACTGCCCCTGATGCCACATTCTCCTGCCAGGAAAAATGAAGTAGGTAGTCCAGACGCTCAGTACATGGTGGTTGAGTCTGCCTTACTCTGCGTCATGCATTGCACTGAGTACTGAAGAGGTGACAAGGGGCAAAAGAGAGAAAGTCCCCATTTTCATGGAACTTAGAGGGAAGGTGGACAAGTTGAAAGGCAATCTCTTTTCATTAGAATAGGGGCACTTGGGGTGCTGCAGGACACAGAGCAGGGCCCCCTCAACTCCGTGGTGGTGTGAGTGGTCTTAGAGGAAGTGATGATACAGTTGAGATCTTAAGGCT